AAATGAGGTTTGATCTATACCTAATTAGAGTCTCAGAAGAAGAGAATACGATAACGGAGAAGAGAAAAATATGTGAAGAGAAAATGGCTGAGAATTTTCATAACTAATGGAAGATATAAATCCACAAACAGAGGAAGCACAGCATATGTATATGAAGCTGGATAAATAAATACAAAGTATGCACACCTAATCACTACGCCCAATAATGAGAGAGAAAGAGAACCTCCTAAAAGCAGGCACAGGAAAAACTCTCCCGCTGAGAAAGGGCAGTTAGACTGATAGAAGACCTCTAAGCAGCCACATCCACAGTCAGATGACATTACATCGAATGATTTAGTGCTGGGAGAAAAACACTGAACTCCTTATTTGTACACAGAAAAAATTACCTTTCAATACTGTGGAGAATATAAACATATCCAGATAAACAGGATGTAGAATTTTCCAAAAGGCTTTCACTAAGTTACTAATGTAATTTCTAGGGGCGCCTGGGTGTTTCAGTTGGTTAAGCGACTGCCTTCGGCTCAGGTCATGATCTCAGGGTCCTGGGATCGAGCCCTGCGTCGGGCTCCCTGCTCGGCAGGAAGCCTGCTTCTCTCTTTCCCACTCCCCCTGCTTGTGTTCCCTCTCTCTCTGTCAAATAAATAAAAAAATAAAATCTTAAAAAAAAAAATATAAGTTACTAATGTAATTTCTAAAGGGTTTACTTGAAGAAGAGGAAAATCACAAACAACTGTAGGCCAATAAATTAGATGATTTAGATGAAATAGAGAAACTCCTAAAAAGATACAAACTATCAAAACTGACTCAAGAAGAAACAGACAGTATCATCAGACCTGTAACAAATAAAGAGACTGAACTGGGTATCAAAACACTAACTACAAAGAAAAGTGCAGGCCCAGATGGCTTCACTATTGAATTGCATCAAATATTTAAAGACTAATTAACATCAATCCTTCTCAAAACCCTCCAAAAAGTATAAGGCTGGAACATTCCCACCTCATGTGACAATGCTAGTATTACCTGATATCAAAACCAAAAAAGACATCATAAAAGATGCAAACTACAGACCAATCTTATGAATATGAACACAGCAATCCTCAACAATATAACAGCAAACTGAATCTAGCAACATATACGAAGGATCATGTGCCATGACCAAGTACAATTTATACCAGGAATGTGAGGTGGGTTTTAACATCCAAAAACAAATGAATATTCCATATCTACAAAATTTAAAACAAAAAAACATGATAATCTCAATTTCCACAGAAAAGACATTTGATAAACTCCAACATCCCTTCTTGAAAAAAACACTCAACAAATTAGGAAAAGCAGCAACCTTCCTCAATCTGATAAAGGATATCTATGAAAAACCCACAGCTAACATCATATATAATGATGAAAGACTAACATTGTCCCAACAAGACCAGGGAAAATCAGGGATGTCTGTTCTTGCAACATCTATTCCACACTGTACTAAAGATTCTAGCTAGGGCAGTTATGCAAGAAAAAGACATAAAAGGCATCCAAATTGGAAAGGAAGAAAACAATCTCTAGTCACAGATGATTTTATATAGAGAGAATTCTAAGGAATCTACTAAAAATCTGTTAGAATAAAGGAATTCAGCAAGGTTGCAAGCTACAGGATCAATATACAAACACAAACTAATTTCTATACACTTACAACAATCAATTGGAAAACAGAATTAAGAAAAATACATTTACAACAACATCAAAAACAATAAAACATTCAGGAATAACCTTAAGGTACAAAATGCACACTCTGAAAACTACAAATGACTGCTGAAAGAAAACTGAAGATCTAAATAAATTGAAAAGCATCCCATGTTAACAAATGGGAAGATTTACTACTGTAAAGATGGCTATTCTAACTAAAGTGATCTACAGACTCACCACAATCCCTATAACTATCCCAAGCTGGCTTCTTTGTAGAAATTGGCAAGCTGATTCTAAGATTTATATGGAATCACAAGGGGCTCCAAATAGCAAAAACAATCTTGCAAAAGAATAGTAAAGTTGGACAACTTACACGTCCCAATTTCAAATCTTACTAAAAAGCAACAGTAATCAAGACAGGGGACTGGTATAAATATAAACATATATACCAAAGGAACACCACTGAGCATTCAGAAATAAACCCATACGTCTACTGTCAACTGATTTGAACAGGGGTGCCAAGAACATTCAGTGGGATTTAAAAAATAATCTTTCCAACAAATGGTGCTGGGACAACTGGACATCAACATGCAAAGCATGAAGCTGGAACCCTACCTCAAATACTACACAAAAATTTACTCAGAATGGATCAAAGAACTAAGTGTAAGAGATAAAACCACAAAATTCTTAGAAGAAAACAGGAAAATATTCATGAGTTTGGATCTAGCAATGGATTCTTAGATATGACACCAAAAGCATGAATACAAGAAAAAACATAAATTAAACCTTATCAAAATCAAAAACATTTTTGCATCAAAGGGCATTTTTCTCAGAAAGTAAAAAGACAACTAACAGAATGGAAGAAAATTATTTGCATATCATATGTGATAAGGGCCCACTTCCCACAATATACAGAATTCTTATAGCTCAGCAAGACAAATTACATCATTTAAAAGTTGGCAAAGGATCTGAACAGACACTTCTCCAAGGAAGGTATACAAACGGGCAAAAAGCACACGAAAAAATGCTCTGTCTTCTGGGAAATGCAGATCACAACAAGATACCACTTTACACCCACCAGGATGGCAAAATTCAAAATGATAAATAACAAGTGTCATTGAAAATATGGAGAGGTTGGAACCCTCACATGTTGCTGGTGGGAGTGTAAAATGGGACAGCCACTCTGGAACTGTCTGGCAGATCCTGATAAAATTAAACATAAGTTACCATTTGACCCAGCAATTCCACTCCTAGGTATATACCCGAGAAAAGTAACAACATGTGCACACAACAATTTGTACACAAATACTTACAGCAGCATTATTCGTAATAGTCAAAATGTCCATCAATAATAAATGGATAAAATGTAATATATCTATAGAATGGAGTATTCTTCAACTACACAAAAGGAACAAAGTGTTGATACATGATGCTACATGATGCTACGATGCAGATGAACCTTGAGAACATGCTAAGTGACGGAATCCAGTCATAACGGACCAGGTACTGAATGAATCCAATTATATGCAGTGTCTGCAGGAGGTGCATCCACAGAGATAGGAGCTCAATTGTTGCTTCGGGCTGGTGGGTGGGGAGAAGAGGGGATGACAGCGAAAGGGGGCGGGATTTCTTTCTGAGGTGATGAAAATATTCTGAAATTGGTGAAAAAATCACTGAGTTACATACTTTAAACAGGTAATTTGTATGGTCTGTAAGTTATATCTCAATAAACCCATTATAGAAAAAAAGAAAACAGGAAAGATCGGAGATGCAAGAATACTGGGCAAAGACAAGGGTAAGCAATACTGTAAACTACGATTTTAGAAAAGAACAAGACAAGGAGAATAGCAGACAACAACTGCATGAAAAGTGGGAGAGGTGGGAGAAATGACTGGAACAGACCCAGTTCCTTCTGTTGTGTGTCTGCAGTGGTGGTCACTGATTAACATTAGGCTTCAAATGTGCATGGTCAGACTGGACAAGTAACCACTACAGGGATAGAAAGAGAATGTGCAACTTCCAAACCAACAGAGCAAAAAATGGAATATAAAAACGGACAAGCTGGGGGCGCCTGGGTGGCTCAGTCATTAAAGCGTCTGCCTTCGGCTCAGGTCATGATCGCAGGGTCCTGGGATCGAGCCCCGCATCGGGCTCCCTGCTCAGCGGGAAGCCTGCTTCTCCCTCCTCCACTCCCCTTCCCTCTCTCGCTGTGTCTCTCTCTGTCAAATAAATAAATAGAATCTTAAAAAAAAGAGAGAAACGTATAAAAAAAAGTCTTCTGTTGCTTCTCTTAAACAAAGCAGCAGTGCCGTTACCTAGTCCTAATCAGTGTACCCACGTTGTAGACAACACAGGGGAGATTCTGGTGCAAAGACTCCACGTTTGGATCTCTCCTCACGCTGAGCACCTCAGAGTATTCCCCACGACATCCTCCATCCTCTTCCTCGACACTGTGACAGCTGTAGGAGAAGGAGCAGCCAAAGCCAAGTGGGGACCAGACACAAGGTGGGGACCAGGACAGGTGAGCCGAGGGCACCAGGGCAGCTGCCCACCTGCCCACGGAGACGGCCACTCGGCTGTGCGCCCCTCCGCCCCTCACCGCGTTAGCGTTCAGCCAAACTGACAGCCCAGTGAAGCCTACGGCTCTTTCCAAATAAGATTTTTAAATGCAGAAGATAAACAGCAGGATGACTATATCAAATACCAGAATATTTTTTAAAACAATGTGTGACACAGTCCTGCACCACCAAACCTCAAGAGTGATGACTAAAGATAACGTGAGGTGTCTAGCCGCTATCGTGAGAAACAAACAGGTCTGGTTCTCTCAGTGGCCAAGTCGGGAATCGTGGTTGTCGCCATACTCACAATGGAGGAAATGCTGAATTTCAGCCAGAGATTAGTGAAAATAAAGATGCCCTTTTCTTGCTATCCAAGTCCAGTGAGCCTCTGAATTCCCTCGGAGCAGGACGAGGCCTGGGGGCAGGGGCGGGTCCCAGCGAGGGCCGCAAGCAGAGGGACGGCTTTCCCTCTCAGCGCAGGGCGGTGGCCCTGGGTCCTGGGCCCCAGCACACGGGTGGGAGAGGGCTGGGTCTGGGCTGGCCAGAGCCCTCGGGAAGGAAGGGAAATCCTCCCTGAAAGCTAAGGTTCCGGTCACCACCTGCCTGGGCCACCCGAGGGAAACAACCATTTTTTTTTTTTAACTCCCCAATTTTTCTGCTTTAAGCCCCAGGTGCAGGTAATGAGAAACGACATGTCTTGGGAAAGCCCCAAGTTAGTGTTAAGAGCCTACGGAGCACACAGTGTTTCCAGAAGGGTCTGCCCACCTTCGTCAGTGCAAAGGCCACTGTCCCATCGTCCTCAGTGGAAAGATCAAGTAGCTTCTGATAAAACGCTTCATCATAAGGCCCGTCTATTTGCAACGTTTTTCTGAAAGAGAAGGCACAAAAAAACGGGATGGCAAAGCCGCCTGGAAATGGTTTCTTAGACTACCAATTTAACAGTCACACATCTGCCTTTAAACATCTCAAAGATCCACCTCTTCCTAACACTAAACTTTGTTCTGAAGCAGCAACTTTAGAGCGTAAGAGCAAAACCAGGGAGCCCGGGCTGCCTCCTGTTTATGACACATGGCATCCAGGCCAGAGACGCTGGTGAGCGGGGAGGGGACAGAGGAGTCCAGGTCAGCCTGGCCACAAGCCTGCCACAGAGACCTCCAGAGTCCTCCGGCAGAGACCTATGTCCTGGCAGGGCCGGCGGGTGGGGCGGGAGCGGCTGGCCAGCTGTGGAGCAGCACTGCCCCCCACAGGCTCAGCCGACATAGGACGGGACCGCCAGCGAGCCAGCCAGCCCGGGGCCTCCTTCACAGGCTGGGCCTGGGAGTGGCCGCGGCTGGGGTGACCCCCTTCCCCCATCCCCGTCTTGCCCTCAGGAATGCTCGGGGCCCACTCAGCCTAGCAAGGGCAGGGCTGCAAGGGCCTGGGCCTCACCTCTCCTCAGGAAACTCCTCCAGGTACCGCTCAACCCGCCGGTACAGAGGGTAGAGGCCTTCGATGTCCAGCAGGTCCAACATCTGCACCTGGAGGGTTTTGTACAGAAGACAGCCCTTCGGTAACCCCGAGCACTCCGGGCTGTTTTTTCCTACCAAGAATATCGGGAAAACAAGAGGTTTCCTGTCAAGGACTGAAGAAAGCCTGGGCATGGGCCACACCCTGCCTCACGGAGCTGCTGGGACACGGGGCCAGGCGCCAAAGACAGGCAGGGGACCCGCGTCTCGCTCTGTGCTGCTCCCTCTCAAAGGCCTTCAGCTCATCACAGCAGCCCAGACCTCGGTGCAGACACGGCTCTCAGTCTGAATTAGCCAGGCACAAAAATTTTAAATGACCACACTGACGTCCCCAAACCTGGGAGACCGTGTCTGTGGAGCCCAGAGCCACAGCCCATGCTGATGGGTGGGTGGCCACATAGGACGGCAGTCAAAGCCGCCGCTGATAAACCCGCAGCAGGGAGCAGTCACCGCGGGGTCAGGGTGGGCACCAGGGGCCGTGCCCCGGGGAAGACAGGGTCCCGGCCCATCCCTCCCCCTTGAAGGGGGCAGCCGTGTGCAGTATGGACACTTTGACCTCTGACGTCCCACTGCTGGCAGGACACGCTCAGCCACTTGAGACAGGGTGAAAACACACAGACCCAGCTAGGGGGATTTGCTGAAATTACAGGCTGTGTGTGGAGTACCTACCTCGTGGTCAATAAAAATTTCAAAAAATACGATTGCTGACATGCATTTGGTTGTTAGGCAAAAATATCAGATTACAAAGTAGCATGTAGAGCACGACTGGTCGTCCTAGACTGCACGTCCCATGGGTCAGGCTGTGTCAGCCTGTGTCCAGGGGAGGCCTGGAAGAAAAGTCCCAGATGCCAGTGGAGCCTCAGCATCCATCTGTGTCCTTCCAGACACATTCTGTCGTCTACTTAAGAGCCCCGATACGGGCATAATTCTACCACAATTTTCTGAAGTGATCAGGTATCACTTTTTTATGAAAAAAGCCACAAAATTCATTTGTGCTAAGAAAAATATGGCCCAGGGACGCCTGGGTGGCTCAGTCGTTAAGCGTCTGCCTTCGGCTCAGGTCATGGTCCCAGGGTCCTGGGATCGAGCCCCGCGTTGGGCTCCCTGCTCCGCGGGAAGCCTGCTTCTCCCTCTCCCGCTCCCCCTGCTTGTGTTCCCTCTCTCACTATCTCTCTCTCTGTCAAATAAGTAAATAAAGTCTTTAAAAAAAGAAAGAATGAAAGAAAAATTTGGCACGAGGGGCAGACGGCGGGTGATCAGCCACGCCCAGGCCGCCGCTCCGCAAACACGGCAGCACGAGAAGCCACGCAGGAGCAAGGCCACGGTCTCCCTGCATCACACCCTGCGGCGGCCGCCAGGGACCACAGGGCCTTCAGCCCGAAACGGGAATGATCTGAGTCTTCCTCGTCAGCCCCCGAAAGGAAGCTCCTGGCTACGGCTCCTCATGACACAGGCCTGCGCGTGGCATGGAGCCCGCCAGCACACGACCAAGGGACAAATGAGGAGCCTGGGAACATTCATGGCAAAACTCCAAACCTGCCACCACCGAGCTGCCTCAAAGCTGGGACGCCCACTGAGTCACAGCCAGCCCACTGGCAAGTGGAAGCTGTGGGGGCCACCCCACCCCAAAGGGCGCAGAGCTGTGGGACTCTGGCCTTCCGAGCCTCAGCTCTCCACCTGCCGGAGAAAAGCTACCCCTCAGGGTGGCCATGCTGACGAGACGGGCTCACAGGGAAAGTGTTCAGCAAACTACTGAGGACGCACAGACACGGGGAGCAGTGTTTTAGGGAAAACCCTATAGCTCAGATAAAAGATGAGGCAGGGCGTCTCCCCAGCAGGGCTGGGAGGCAGGGAGGGCTGGCTGTGGGGAGCCCTGATGAGGCCCAGGCTGCTCCCGCAAGAGCTCCGTGAGGCCAGGCAGGACCCTGGCAGGTCACGCCACACTCTGCCCGCCCCTGCGCCCAGCATGGCCTACCTTGGCGGTGCAGGCTCCTGCCGAAAGGGCTGGCTTCACAGACACGAGGACCCCGTGGCCCAGGCCCCCGCCTCAGGGCACCTGCCCAGCCCTTGTCCGAGCCGCTCAGCAGCACCCGCGTGATGACCCGCACCAGCTCCCGGATCACAGCCCTCGTGCAGTGGGGCCCGCTGGCCAGGCCGTTGGAAGGGAAGAAGAAGGGCTTCAGGTGGTGTGCGAGCTCGTTCCAGTCAGCCACGGGGCTGCGGGCATCTGTGCAGCCGTAGATCAGCTCACCGTTCTTCAGGCAGGGAGAGAGACAGGGAAACGTCAACTCCACGGGCTGGGGGCAGAACACCTTTGTCTCTGCCCACTGGGCAGGCAAAGGGACTTGACACCCTACATCTGTCTCCGTCTGGGGCCCTGCACACCATGGCCCTCCAGGGAAAACCACCCTCACGCACTGTGTCACTGGCCAAGAGGCAAATCCCATCAGAACATGGAGTAGAACAAATGTTCCCCAAACCTAAGACCAGTCCTGGCCTAAAACACAAGGCCTCAGGCAAATGCAGCCCAAAGCCCAAACCCGCAAAGACCCCAGCCTGTTTATCCGAGAAGCCATGTGACACCCATGCTCCTAAGGGACACACAGTGTCAGTCTGACCCCGAGCAGGCAAGCTTCTTGGCCACTGTGGGTATCCGTGGGCCACCTGCATCTTGGGGACTTCTGTCCTCTGCGACAGGCAGGGCCACGCTTCCTGCCAGGGCGGGTGAGGCCGCCCGTGTCACCACGTGCACTGTTTCGTCCCCGAGGCCATCCTGCCTTTTAAAACCAAGTCCAGCAAAGACACTCCCATGGCCCCGACGTTCCCAGGGCTGCGAGCAGGGCTGCCAAGCGGGCTGAGCCTGTGACCAAGGGACCTTGATCCCCACACGCCTGAGCAGCAGTGACCAACTCCTTGTCCCCTGGTTTCCCCATCTGAGAGAGGGTGTGATCAGCAGCCCCCGGACAGTCCCCAGGGGCCCCCTGACACTCACACCCTGTAGCCCCCTCCCCACGGTGGAGCGTGAGCCACAGGACATCCCTGGCGAGACCACGTTACAAAAGATGCCACGGCTTCCCTCTTGTGCCGCTCCTCTCAAGCCACGTGGCCCCGCTGAGCAGACCCTGGAGCTCCGCCCCGGCCAGGAACCAAGGCGTCCTGCCCACACCATTAAGGACACCATCCTGGGAGCCCAGCCTCGGGCCCTCGCCAAGCTGTCAGAGAGGACACGGCCTCGAGAGGGACCCGGCGCCAGGGCCAGCTATGCCGCTCAATTCCAGGCCACGGAACCGAGAGCCGGGGTGTGGTTGTTACGTAGCAGTGGGGACTGATCTGGACTGGCCCCAGCAATGTCCTCCTAACACAGAGGAGGACGGTCCCTGCCCCGGTGGCACTTGGCAATTCAGTCCCCAGGGTGTGGACTGGGCATTCGTCCTTCATCTGGGTCCTGCGATGCAGGAGTGCGCGGGATGCCTCCCGGGGGGTCTCCTGTCATGCATCGGAGCAAGAGGCACACAACTGAGGTCACTGCCCCGGGACCCAGCGGAGCCGTGACGAGACGACTGACCCTTGAGATGGGCCTTACCAGCAGGAAGAAGGTGTGCCAGGCAAAGGGCCAGCAGGAGCTCCTGCTGGGGAAGGAGGCCAAGGCGAAGCACTAAGGGAAACCGGGCACTGGGGGCTGCCACCAGGTCTGGTGCAGGAGCCGCCGTGGCCCATGGAGCCGCCCTCCTCCAGGCCTGCGAGCCGCCGAGGGACTGCAGGCCAGCGGAAGCCTCTTCTCCCCAGGGTCCAAAATCCACGCAAGTACAGATGAATGGGACATCAGCGGAGTGCCGTTGTCCCGGGCTCCATGACAAGGCGCCACATCCCCCATGTCTCGCAAGTGTCCAGTGTTGGGGTGGACACGGCCTCAGCTGTGGAGTCTGTGCGGAACACTCAGGCACGCAGGGAAGAGACTGCCACAGCGGACGGTGGTGGCACCAGCCACGGCCCGGGAAACGGCCCACACCTGACCCTGAGAACCGAAGCCTGGCTCAGCGACGGCACGTGCAGGAACGCGCACTGTCGCTCCAGACAGCGTTCGGAAAGCCAGCCTGCGTCACTTCTCTTAGTCCCGGCCCCAGAGCAGGCACAGTCAGCAAAGGATCCGCCGGGGAAACTGCCCGCCTCACTAAAGGTTCCAGGTCAATCCCCAGATGAAGGAGGACTCATCTTTAGGACTGAAATACAAAATCCCTTCAGTCTTCATGACAATTAAAAATAAAAACTGACTGTGAAACAGGCCCTTTCTCTAGAATTGGGAAGGTGGAGCAGATGGGTTAAAGTCCACTGACTCTGACCAGATTTCTGAGCCAGATGGGGGAAAGCAGGTGAAGAGGAGGCTCCCCGCCCACCCTCCCAAGCTCACTCTGAGGGACATCCGTGTGCAGAGCACCCCCATCCGCCCAGAGCGGGACGCAGAGGATACGACAGCCCTGCTTCTCCACGCACACGCAGTGCTCGCAAGCCTGGCCCGCGCCGCAGACTCGCGCTCCCACGGAACGCCGAACGGGGATGCAGCCGGGGCAGGAGGCAGGGTCAGGGGTGAGGAGAAAAGGAGACGGCGAGGGGGACCCGAGCGGACACATTTCCAACACAGGCCACACTGAGCCCTCCTCCAGCTCTGGGCCAGCCCTGCTCCCCGCCCGCCTCGGCCTCACCGGACTCCCGCCAGCAGGCAACCACAGGGTCAGGGAGCCTGCAGATGGCGGAGAAGGAGCTGAAGGTGCCAGGGCCAGCGCTGGGCGGCGAACGCTCCCCGTGCAGGGCCAGGAGCCCCAGAGCCACTGGGACTTGGCTCACTGACCAGATCTGGGAATTACACGTTCCCTCAATCAACTGCGACCAAAGGCACAGGTGGGGCCACTCTCTCAGAGATGCAGAGAACCCCTGGGACGCAGCCCAGCGGAGTCGGGGCCGTCCTGTCCCGGAACCCGAGCTGGGCTGTGTGCCCCCAGGGAGCCAAGGCCGCCCAGTGGTCCAGGAGCTGATGTCCCACACTCTAGGGGTCACAGGATGCCACGCCTGTGGAACGCGGCTTGGAAAAAGAACCAAAGGACTTTGCACCAAGGCAGCCCCAGCCCAGACGCCCTCATCTGCGGGACCGAAGTGCCCTGGGTTCGCCCAACCCGGTGGACACCCAGTGGCCCCTCCGCTGAAGTGGCACGAAAGAGAAGCCAGCTCTTACCTTAAATATCTTTAAGTTGTTCTGAGCTTCCTGTAACAAGCTCTTCAAGGCAAAGTGCATTCTCTGCTTATTTCTAAAAGGAAAAGACACGATTGATAGAATTACGAGCAGTCTTTGCTTTCACCTGCTTGTGGCTCAGGGGACGGGACTCAGGGGATGTGCCTGTGAGGGCAGCTTGGAGGCTTCAGGCTCTGGGGGCTAAGGAACCACATGCCCCCAGCCTTTCTCAAGGAGGCCCCCCATCACTGTTCCTAACCCCCCCTGCTCCCCAGCCGCTGCCCCCCACAGCTGAGCTGACCCCAGGCAAGAACCCTGAGCTCTGCCCAGGACCCTGGCTACCGGCTGGCGAGTGGCCCCCTTCCCCGCCCCCATGGAAGGCGGCACTAAGGCCAAAGGAGAAGTGCTCTCTTACCCTGAGTAGAGGTCGAGGGGACAGTATTTACTTATCTGCTTCCACTTCCCAGTTGCCACCTGTTAAGAAAGCACCAAGTGCTGTAAATGACCGGCTGGGGCAGCACGAGGCCAACACCTCCGAGAGATGACGAGGGCGCCGAAGGTCCCCGCAGAGGCCAGCACCCAGGGGCCCATCATCACTGGTGGGGCCGGGGCTTGAGTCCAACCCCAGGAACCCTCAGCCCTCCTCTGAGCCTCAGGTGGCTGCCAGCCCAGCCCCCCCCACACGAGCAGGGAAGCCTGCAGCCAGCATCTTTTCAAAATGACACAGCGAAAGCGGCCTCTTTCTACAGCCAGCAGCACACGGTCTACAAAATGACACGGCTAAACTCTGCTAATCAGATGAACAAACCCTTATAATTGTAATGTTCAGGAAGAGGAGGGTGTGGCTAGTAATTTCATGTTTGGGGGGAGAAGATACATTGGCACAACCTTCTGAAAGTCAACTTGCTGGTTTCCATCAAATTTGCAATGTGGGTATCCCCTGACTTGGCAAATCTATGAGGAGTCATGAGATCAAGAATGCTCACTGCAGCCTGACTGTAACAGCGAGGTCGGGAAACAGCTTCACAGGGCATCTGCTCCCGTGGGCCATATGCTAAATGAAGGAATGAATAAACGACATCCAGCTTACAGAGAGAGGCAAAACAAAAAATCACCAACATTTATTCAATAAAAAAACGCAATTTGCCTAGGTGGAAATGTTGTTACTTTGCTTAAAAAAAAAAGGGGGGGCCTCCATATGTGCATATATCCAATACACGCTGAAAAAGCCTTGAAGGATACACAACAAACAATCTTCAAGGATTAGTTAAGTGAAAAAAGCAATTAGCAGAACAACTACATATGGCGAGATCCCATATTTGCTTTATAAAAGTGTATGTGTCCATGCACATGTGAGCACACGCCAGAATACATGTGGGAAAAGGCATCATCTCATTTCCACTTGGATAACATGTATGTTTGTGTTGGCACAGAGAGAAGTCTGGAAGGATGTGCCAACTGACAACACGGGTTACCTCTGGGAAATTCCATATTTTATCAGTTAAATGAGCAGGTATTGCTTCATAGTAAAAACCAGTTCTTAAAAAATCCATCAAATGAATGGTGACAATGAAGACCATCTCCTAAATGCTAACATACCTTATTTTCCCTAAGAGCCTAGAAAGTTGTAACACCACAAAGAAAAGATGGGGTGAGTCAGCAAAAATGGTGGAATAAAGACCTCTGGAAATTCTCTCCTCCATAAGGGCAATGAGAAAACTGGCAAAAACTGTCAGAATCAAAATTTTCAGGGGCACCTGGGTGGCCTAGTCGTTAAGCATCTGCCTTCGGCTCAGGTCACGATCCCCGGGTCCTGGG